AACAATACTGGCCATTTCCTCATCTTTGAATTCTACCAAAGTGTTTAAATATAAATAAGCCTTTAGGACAAACTTAAAGAACCAATAGGAAAGAAGGAAGAACTGTAAAGAGAATAGTAATATTAATCTGAATCAAAGGAGGAGGAGGCAAAGAGAAGGGGATGGTGTATATAGAAAGAAAAAGAAAATAAAAATCATGACAGAGAAACAAAAAGTGCTATTTCACATGCCCCACTAGCACTTGGTGACTATTTGGTTTACTGCCAGCTAAAAAATGCAGGAAAATAAAATAAAATAATAATTTTAGTTTACAAGGTAGTACAATTCTAAATTAGTATGTAAATACTTATTATGTTTGGCTGCATCTTTTTGTTTAGCTTACAGTTTTTAAACTCCTTACTATTAAAAAAAAATCAAAAAGTTTGGAAACAACCTAACTGTTCATCAACAAGGACTTGATTAAAATAATGTCCTTATTATGGAAAACTTTGTAATAATAAAATCAGCCAGAGCTGATTTATCTTTCAATTAGTCACAATAGACATAGTGCCTAAGGCTCACCAGTACTTTTAGGGACCCATGAAAATGTGCTAATTTAAATTTCTTTTAAAATCAGAAAAAATAAATATAATAATAATAAATAATAATGAATCCAACCTTGATTATATTCATCTTTATACCAACACAGTCATAAAATAGAACATTATTATTATTACTATTACCATTACTGTTACTATTACTATTATTTATGGAGAAAGGGGTCAAAGAAGGCAAAAGAACCTAGGGCTCACAAAAATCACAATTCAGCCCTGAATAAAACAGTATGATAAATCTCATGATGTACTGATATGGAAAGATCTCCAAGGTATTTTAAAAAATAACACCAACGGAAAAGCAAAGTACCAAACTGTATGTAAAGAATACTACCATTTCATTTGTGTTAAAAAGGACAATTTTATATAACTTGTATACATATGTTTATCACTGGAAAATGCATGAGAAACTGAAAATATTTAGGCTCTGAGAGAGGAACTGTTTATCTGGTAAATAGGGATGGAAGACAGTTTTTCAGTAAATATCCTTTTGTACATTTTGAATTTTGAACCATATAAACTTAGTATCTGTTCAAATAAAAATATTTTAAAATTTTTAAATATTTCTCAAAAATTTAAAAATATTTTTAAAGTATTTAAATAAAAATATTTAAAAACTAGTCGGTTTTCATCATACAGAAGCAACTGATCATTAGGAAGCACTTCTCTCTCTTACATGGCATCAAGTATATCCTTCCAAATTAATGAGCCATTTTAAGATATAATGCTTACTATCCCAATATCATATGCTCTTTCTGGAATTAAAAACACAAGTATATTGTCTCCAACAAATTCTAAATCTGGCTTCAGCTCTATCAAAGAATGGCAAGATCTGTTCACAAAGGCTTGCATATTTAATTGCCTTGGTGAATTTGGTTATTTTCTGAGGTGCCTGCCCTGTTTCTCAGCTTTAAGACATAAACTGCACCTCCTCCCCTGCCCTACTAATATCAACCACCACCCTATATTGCACTGAAGAGGCCCTAGAGCAGACAGTTGCAGACATATCTGTTACAGATTATAAATTTCATGACCCTATGATCCCAATGTCTCTTCATGCCTCAGTAAATTCCCACTGCCCCATAAATGCAGTTTTTAACCCACTTGGTGACACTCGTGCTAAGGAAGATTATACTGTGCACATATAAAGCCAGTCATAACTGCCTTGTCTCACAAAATAATCTCTATTTTCCCCTCAAGCCTGACACTGACTTCTCCTTTTAGGTTCATTGCTAATAGACTATCCCTCACCTTAGGAACACTAAACTGCTGCACAGGCTGAAATGTTAATTAATATAACCCTCCTCAATGAGGCCTTACCTTCTCCCAAGTGATGATGGCAATGAATGGGAGGCAAAGGTGTTATCACCCTACTCCATACTGGCTCCACTCTCAGACATCACCCTCCTGTATTCTTGCCTGTACTTAGACCACAGTCTTGGGTTTACTTCCCACAGTTATTATTCACTGGATTGGGTGCTCAGTTACAGCTTATGAGACCATTCACCATTTAGTATTGCCTCAGCTCTATCCACTTCTGCTTTTCAAACAACTGACACAACAAATTTATTTTTTAAATCTTTAAGACAGAGAGACTCTGTCTACCTAAAACCCTAAAATGAGGTCACTGGCATATATTCCCTTAAGAAATAATTCACTGGCAGAGATGCAGAAAATATTTAAATAAAATAATACTTTAGTGATATTTTTCATAACAGTGCTCCAGCTAAAGGGAAACTGTCCAACGTAGTGACTACGTATAATAAATCATTAAAATTCATGTTTACAAAGATATTTGAGACAAAATATTATTTATGACATAAATATAAAAATAGAATAAAAATTATATATACTTATTGGACTAAATATACAAGCAAAAAATTATATATGTATATATACATACATACAGGCACATATATAATATTGGAATAAAGGAAATTCTCAGGGTGGTAGAATTATTGCTTCTTTAAACTGTAAGTTTCTAAACTTCAATAGTATCAACGTATCACTTTTTTAATTAGAAAAAATGCCATCTTCATGATCTACTGTAAGAAATACTTGACAAAGATATATTTTTATTTGTAGCTATATATTTATATTATCTTTCCATAGATATAACTCTATTCATTATTTTTGGCTGGTTGCTGTAAGTCTAACGATATTTCTCCTTATTATTATTTTAACAATGCCTATTTAGCATCAATATTGTGTTACTTCAATTTTCACTTCTAATCATAGGAGCTTCCTACTTCATAAACCCCACTTCACACCTGACATTTCCCACCTCATATTTCACAAATGTTATAGCCTTACAACAGCATGATTCTACTTATAAACATTCCACTTCTAACCTTAGGAGTTTCCTACTTCATAATCCCACTTCACATCTGACATTTCAAACTTCACATGTCACATGTCATACTTCACAAATGGGAAAGTATATTTCCATTTAGTTCACCTCCCTCGTCCTTTACCTTTATGCTCTATTGCCATGTTTTTACAGGTACATGCATCATAAACGTGGCCTTATGCAAAGCATTAAATTCTTTTTAAGAAAATTAGAAGAGAATTAAAAAATTGATCTTTGCATTTACACAGTGATTTTCCATTTCCACTTGCCATTCTCTCCTTCCTGTAAATCGAAATTTCCATCTTGTATCACTTCCATCCAGCCTGAAAAACATCCTGTAGTGCCGTCTGTTTGAAATGAGTTTCCTCAGCTTTCACTTGCCTGAAAATATCTTTATTTTGCCATATTTTTTGGAAGACAATTTTACTGGATATATAATTCAAGATGGATAACTTTTTAATTTCTTTTTAGCACCTTAAAGATGCTACCGCTCCTGGTCTTCATTGTTTCCGATGAGAACTCTGCCTTCATATATATTATTGTTCTTCTGTAACGAATGCCTCTTTTTTCTATGGCTCCTTTCAAGACGTTCTAATTTGGACTCTGATATCTGTGACTCTCTGTGTGACTCTGATATGCCTATATGCAGTTTTCTTGGTATTTATCTTGCTAACTGCTCTCTGACCTTCTTGGAACTGTAAGTGAAAGTTTTTCAATCATTTTTCAAAAATATTTATTGCCTCATTATAATGTTTTTTCTTTTGGAGCTCCAATGCATATATATTAAACTGTGTAATATTGGTCCATAAGTTCAAGGGGGTTTGTTCATTTTTTCTTGAATCTTTTTAGATCTCTGTTCTTGAGACTGTATAATTTCTGTTTATCTGTTTTCCAAGTCCCTGTAAATTGGTGAGATCCAATCTCAAAACTCTGCCTCCTCTAAGAATCTCGTTAGGGCTTGGTTTTAAGCTTTGTTAAAGTGGGTATAAACAGGGCCTTTCTCTGGGTGTGGCTTTTATCATAAAGCAGTGATTCAGCTTGATTCCCACTTTGTTAGGAGGTGTTAAAGGGTCTATTCAGGAAGTCTGGGCCCTAAGTTCGAAGCCCCCAGCACTGCTTAATGTCTAATCTCTCTGTTCTGCTCTTACCTCTGTAACAGCCAGTCTCTTATTAACTTTGTGTGGCTGTGTTTGGTGGTACTGCCCAGCTCTCAGTCAAGGGTGTGTGGGAAACCACCACATGAACTTCATGACCTCCACAGACTCCTTCTCTTAATGCCCTGGTCCACAGATCCCAACCACTTCAAAAGCCCAGAACTCTGACCTCTGCCTCTTCAGATAAGAGAGACTTGCACATTCTGATTGAACTCCAGGTTGATGCACTATAGCTGGGAAATCTTCCCCAGGCAGAGATCCAGGGAAACTGTGGGGCTCACCTTGTTTCTTTCCTCTCAGGAACCATAGCCCATTTACATGGTCATTTTCTTTTAGATATTTAACCCTAATATTTATTCATATTCCTACTTGGTTATGTGGTACCTACCACAACAACACTGTTCCTTCTTATTCTTGAACTGTTGCTCTTTAGTTGTCCTCTGACATTCCAATTCTGCCTTCACGTTTGAGCTCTTTAGTACATTCTCTTGACTTCCTGGTTTTGTGATCAGTTTGTATTCTCTTTTCATATTGAACTCTTTTTCTTTTTGGACTTCAGGGTATAGACAGTCCCACCTGATGTGGAAATAAACTGCCACTTAAAGTATAAGAGACTCAATCTATCAGATGTCGCTATGAATGACCATTCCAGTTGAGCCAACCTCCTACTTTCCCTCTTCCTTAATGGGAGGGGAAGAGGGAAGGTAGGGAATTCTGACACCAGAGAACACTCATTTGAGCCTCGTTCTCTATTAGATAGAACTGAAAATGAAATGCCTATCAATATAAATTGTCTTCTTTTTTGTTGCTAACATAAACAAATTTTGTCAGGGACTAGAATATGCCCATTTTAACATTAAAGTTCCAAGACTCCCAGAAGCTAGAAGTGGCCATGTGACATACCTTCTCTCTCCAGTGAGGTGTGTGTCAGGGCATCAGGTGGGACTTTGGGTAACCAGTTGTTTTCACTGTTTAAAAAAAAAAAAAAGACATACATGGCTCCTCATTTCTCCTTATGCCCATTCCCTATCCCCTTTCCACTTACCCACAAGGTCAACTTAAATTAGTCAATCCCACCTTTACCAAAAACACAGGAGAAAAAATAAATGTTTATTTGCTGTATGCCACTGATATCTTTATAGTTACTCGCTATGCAGCATTAATCTAGCAATAGCTGATTGAGACAATAAGCTAGACTCAAATCATGGAAACCTAGAACTAGGAGAAGATAAAATGCAGCACGCAATAGCCCACCTCTGTTGCTAGACTGCCTGGGTTCACTGCCCAGCTCTATTGTTTTTACTCATGTTGATTTTTACCATTTTGATTATCCTTGATCTCAGTTTCCTTAATTATAAAACAGAATAATGGTTTAGTTTTAGTTTGTTTTTTTCTGGTAAGGACTAAACAAAGATAGTCATTTAACATTTGATAAAATGATATCTGGTACACAATAGATGCTTAATTAATATTCAAAATTATTATTCAATACTAGAGCAGGGAGGGAGGGTTAGATTTTACTTATCAGGCCAGTGGTATTTTACAGATTTCCACGGAAGACTGTTGTTCTGTCAGCTGGAGTGTTCCCTGATAAATTAGAATAATGGTGGTCTTTTCCTAGTATGCAGATTAATTTAAGTAAATTGATATAAATTACTTGTTCTAATAATTTTTCTCCCCTATATGTTTTTAAATCTCTAGTGATTGGCACAACTTGTTTGTGAGACAAATTAAAACATGTAAATGAACAAATATCATTATTATTAATAGAAAAAATTCAGAAACACCAATTATACTTAGTTTGACAATCTGTCTTTTAAATAGACATGTGTGCCCCCAAATTGTCACTTTATATTATACAAGCAAAATACAATATTTTCTCCCAGGAAACTTGCTCCTAGTTCCTGTGATTGAATTGAAAATACTGTTTCATGACACTTTACAAATAATACAGTATTATGCAAAAAACACAATAATCTGCAGGTTTAAGATCTCTAGCATTATAAAAATAATCCCTTGTCAGAGGCAGGGAACAGAAAAGAGTTGATTAGTGACAGAGACATTAGGAAAATGGAGAAAATTTGACAACATTTGGACATAGGTGGTGAGAGAGAGAAGAGATTCTTAAACTGTAGTGCAAATAAAAATTACCCTGAGAGCTTAATAAAAATGCATACAGAGTCCATGTCCCCAATCCCAAAAATTCTGGCTTAGAATTTCTGGAATAGTGACCTAGAACCTGCATTTTTAACAAATCCCATTTCTGATTCTGATTCAGGTAGCTAAGAATCACATTTGGAGAAACACTAGAACATGATACGCTCTAACTATTTGGAATCACTAGTTTAACTCTGCTATTTCAGAATTATTTAGCACTTTGCAGTTACTGGCAAGCAATGATGCCAGTGGAAAGCCAAGGATAAAGGATGACTCCAAGATTTTATGCCTGAACACCTGAGTGAAGAACAATGCCATTAATCAAGACAAGGAACACAATGGTAAAAATGAGATACTGTAAAGAAAGAAAGATGATGATGAACTTTTTTTGTTTTTTGATTGTTGAATATTGGACTTTTTTGAGGAGTGGAAGGGAGTGGCATTACATACTAACTCTCTTCCACATATGACTCTGAATAAGGTTGTGAATAAGGGAGAGAAGAAACCCAAGGAGCCACTTCATTACTGATAAATGCCCAGGTTGGAAGCTAAAATTAGGGTGTGTCACCGATGGTCTTCCTCACACTGGAACCCAGCATTAAGAGGCCTAGTCCCTGCAATTCTATGTGGCAGGAGCAACTGCATTGCTCTGCTACCCCCAAGCAGCTAGAAGACACTATCCTCTCCACCTTACCTACAATAGTCCTTTACACAATTTTTACTGTGGACTCTGTACTTGTCATTTATAACACACACTTCAGAATCAGAAGGAATGCAAGTGTTTATTCTGTTATCTCCATTTGAACCTAAGTGCTAAGAGAGCAAGGATCATATCTTACTTGCCTACTATTCAATACTCAGACCCAGTGCTAAGAAAGGAGTAGAAAGTCTAAACAATTTGTTGAATGAGTAAGTTTTTAAAAGAACAAATACTAACTTTGACTTCTGGTCTGGTGTGTGTTTGTATCTGCTCAAACCAAAGTTCCATGTTACTGATGTCAAAGTTAAACAGGCAGGGCTTCCCTGGTGGCGCAGTGGTTGAGAGTCCGCCTGCCGACTCAGGTGACACGGGTTCGTGCCCCGGTCCAGGAAGATCCCACATGCCGCGGAGCGGCTGGGCCCGGGAGCCATGGCCGCTGAGCCTGCGCGTCCGGAGCCTGTGCTCCGCAACGGGAGAGGCCACAACAGGGAGAGGTCCGCGTACCGCAAAAAAAAAAAAAAAAAAAGTTAAACAGGCAAGGAAGACTTATCCAAGATTACTGCAATAGAGAAGAGGGGCCAGGACTCTGAGCTCAACTCACCAGAAAATAACAAAAAGCTTATGAGATTTTAAGAGTAGGGAGGCTCTTAGGCCAATTCTGTTTACTAATTAGCCTTACCCAAAGAAAAAGTAAAATTTTCTCGTAGCTTCGTGGCAGGAGGTAGTTTTACAAATTGAAACAAGATGCCTGCCTAAGTTAGGCTTCTACCCTTCCAAAGAGACTGGGGAATAGGGATATCTTCTTTGTTGACATTTTTCAAAAGGATGGCTCCTTGTTCCTTAAGAAAGACAGCCCTGGGTTGTAACACCGGCAAAATTTTTTTTAAAGATTTATATTTCAAAAATGCAGAGAATCAATGTACAGTTACAAGTTTTCTAACGTAAATGCCCTAAGGAAAGAGAGGTCAAGGACCTAGAGGCAGGAAGAAACCTGTCTAAAATTTGTACCTGAGCTGAGGGAAACGTCAAGGCGGTCTTAATAAATGATTAGCTGTGTTTCTGCAGTTCTGCACCAACGAACTCAAATTACGAGCTTCCAATCTCTCATGTTTTCTTCATGCAAAGAGCTGCTGCACACTTTAAACACCTTTTTTTTTGCTTACTTTCTTACTTGTGAGCCAACCACGGATCTCTTCCCCGCGCCTCTGGCAGGGCGCGTGCGCAGATGGTCTTGCGCGCCTGACGTCACGGAACGCGCCAGCCCCGGCATGTTAGCAACCGAAAGCGTCCCTGGTAGCAGTGGCTGCTGAGATGTACGAACTTCCGGTTATCCCGGCAGCTGCAGCCGCTGACGATTCTGCCACCTGCTGTGGCCGGGTCCTAGCCCGGGATTTGGTCACCCTTCGTTCTTCACTACGCCCATGGTCCCACCTGGAGCCAGGGCGGCGGGCCCGGCAGCTCCCACGTGGTGAGAGGGCGGTCCGGGGAAAATGAAGGCGACGCACTGTAGCTGCTGCCTCAGCCACCTGCTCGCCTCCGCCCTCCTGCTGTTGCTACTGCTGCCTGAGTTGAGAGGGCCCTTGGAGGTACTGCTGCAGGCGGCCGAGGCCGTGCCGGATCCCATGCCTCCGGACCGTGGGCCGCGAACCCTGCCACCTCTGCCGTCCGGCCCCACAGCTGCCCAGTCCCCGGGCCGCGCTCCGGCCGAAGCCGAGGGACCACGGGGCGCCGAGGGCGTCAATAGCAGCACTCCCAGTGCGGGGCTTGCAGCCGAAGACCCAGGCGGGAAAGCGGGGGAAGAAGGCCCGGTGGGTGGCGTCCTCGCTGTGAGCCCCAACCCCGGCGACAAGCCCATGACCCAACGAGCCCTGACCGTGTTGATGGTGGTGAGTGGCGCGGTGCTGGTGTACTTCGTCGTCAGAACGGTCAGGTGAGGCGAAGCCTCGATGAGCCTCCCTCGCAGGCCTGAAATGGGCTATCTTTTGACCTGGCGTTGCCCTCTTCCCACCCCCAGTATCATGGGTGCCTGCCTGAGTGAAAGACTGTGAGGATGAATGTCTTAAAAGCCTGTGGTACCTTTGGGAGTATTTAAACCACCAAGTACTTGCTCCCTTTCATTTATAAGTTATAAATTAGTACCAAACCTCTAAATCAATCTTTATTTGAGTAAATTAATACTAATGCAGAATGACCTTATTATATGGGTACTTTATTTTATAAAATGTAAAAGAAGAAAAGTTCTTTTAGCAGTAGTTTCTTTTTTTTTTTTTTACATCTTTATTGGAGTATAATTGCTTTACAATGGTGTGTTAGTTTCTGCTTTATAACAAAGTGAATCAGTTATACATATACATATGTTACCATATCTCTTCCCTCTTGCGTCTCCCTCCCTCCCACCCTCCCTAGCCCACCCCTCTAGGTGGTCACAAAGCACCAAGCTGATCTCACTGTGCTATGTGGCTGCTTCCCACTAGCTATTTTACGTTTGGTAGTGTATCTATGTCCATGCAACTCTCTCACTTTGTCACAGCTTACGTTTCCCCCTCCCCATATCCTTAAATCCATTCTCTAGTAGGTCTCTGTCTATTCCTGTCTTACCCCTAGGTTCTTCATGACATTTTTTTTTTAGATTCCATATATATGTGTTAGCATATGGTATTTGTCTCTTTCTGACTTACTTCACTCTGTATGACAGACTCTAGGTCCATCCACCTCACTACAAATAACTCAATTTCGTTTCTTTTTATGGCTGACTAATATTCCATTGTATATATGTGCCACATCTTCTTTATCCATTCATCTGTCGATGGACACTTAGGTTGTTTCCATCTCCTGGCTATTGTAAATAGAGCTGCAATGAACATTTTGGTACATGACTCTTTTAGAATTATGGTTTTCTCAGGGTATATGCCCAGTAGTGGGATTGCTGGGTCATAAGGTAGGTCTATTTGTAGTTTTTTAAGGAACCTCCATACTGTTCTCCATAGTGGCTGTACCAATTCACAGTCCCACCAGCAGTGCAAGAGTGTTCCATTTTCTCCACACCCTCTCCAGCATTTATTGTTTCTAGATTTTTTGATGATGGCCATTCTGACCGGTGTGAGATGATATCTCATTGTAGTTTTGATTTGCATTTCTCTAATGATTAAGGATGTTGAGCATTCTTTCATGTGTTTGTTGGCACTCTGTATATCTTCTTTGGAGAAATGTCTATTTAGGTCTTCTGCCCATTTTTGGATTGGGTTGTTTGTTTTTCTGTTGTTGAGCTGCATGAACTGCTTGTAAATTTTGGAGATTAATCCTTTGTCAGTTGATTCATTAGCAAGTATTGTATCCCATTCTGAGGGTTGTCTTTTCATCTTGTTTATGGTTTCCTTTGCTGTGCACAAGCTTTGAAGTTTCATTATGTCCCATATTTTTATTTTTGTTTTTATTTCCATTTCTCTAGGAGGTGGGTCAAAAAGGATCTTGCTGTGGTTTATGTCATAGAGTGTTCTGCCTATGTTTTCCTCTAAGTGTTTGATAGTTTCTGGCCTTACATTTAGGTCTTTAATCCATTTTGAGCTTATTTTTGTGTATGGTGTTAGGGAGTGATCTAATCTCATACTTTTACATGTACCTGTCCAGTTTTCCCAGACCACTTATTGAAGAGGCTGTCTTTTCTCCACTGTACATTCCTGCCTCCTTTATCAAAGATAAGGTGACCATATGTGCGTGGGTTTATCTCTGGGCTTTCTATCCTGTTCCATTGATCTGTATTTCTACTTTTGTGCCAGTACCATACTGTCTTGATTACTGTAGCTTTGTAGTACAGTCTGAAGTCAGGGAGCCTGATTCCTCCACCTCCATTTTTCGTTCTCAAGATTGCTTTGGCTATTCGGGGTCTTTTGTGTTTCCATACAAATTGTGAAATTTTTTGTTCTAGTTCTGTGAAAAATGCCAGTGGTAGTTTGATAGGGATTGCATTGAATCTGTAGATTGCTTTGGGTAGTAGAGTCATTTTCACAATGTTGATTCTTCCAATCCAAGAACATGGTATATCTCTCCATCTATTTGTATCATCTTTAATTTCTTTCATCAGTGTCTTATAATTTTCTGCATACAGGTCTTTTGTCTTCTTAGGTACGTTTATTCCTAGATATTTTATTCTTTTTGTTGCAATGGTGAAGGGGAGTCTTTTCTTGATTTCACATTCAGATTTTTCATTATTAGTGTATCGGAATGCCAGAGATTTCTGTGCATTAATTTTGTATCCTGCTACTTTACCAAATTCATTGATTAGCTCTAGTAGTTCTCTGCTAGCATCTTTAGGATTCTCTATGTATAGTATCATGTCATCTGCCAACAGTGACAACTTTACTTCTTCTTTTCCAATTCGGATTCCTTTTATTTCCTTTTCTTCTCTGATTGCTGTGGCTAAAACTTCCAAAACTATGTTGAATAAGAGTGGTGAGAGGGGGCAACCTTGTCTTGTTCCTGATCTTACTGGAAATGCTTTCAGTTTTTCACCATTGAGGACGATGTTGGCTGTGGGTTTGTCATATATGGCCTTTATTATGTTGAGGAAAGTTCCCTCTATGCCTACTTTCTGCAGGGTTTTTATCATAAATTGGTGTTGAATTTTGTCGAAAGCTTTCTCTGCATCTATTGAGATGACCATATGGTTTTTCTCCTTCAGTTTGTTAATATGGTATATCACATTGATTGATTTGCTTATATTGAAGAATCCTTGAATTCCTGGAATAAACCCCACTTGATCATGGTGTATGATCCTCTTAAGGTGCTGCTGGATTCTGTTTGCTAGTATTTTGTTGAGGATTTTTGCATCTATATTCATCAGTGATATTGGCCTGTAGTTTTCTTTCTTTGTGACATCCTTGTCTGGTTTTGGTATCAGGGTGATGGTGGCCTCATAGAATGAGTTTGGGATGTTCCTCCCTCTGCTATATTTTGGAAGACTTTGAGAAAGATAGGTGTTAGCTCTTCTCTAAATGTTTGATAGAATTCACCTGTGAAGCCATCTGGTCCTGGGCTTTTGTTTTTTGGAAGATTTTTAATCACAGTTTCAGTTTCAGTGCTTGTGATTTGTCTGTTCATATTTTCTATTTCTTCTTGATTGAGTCTTGGGAGGTTGTGCATTTCTAAGAATTTGTCCATTTCTTCCAGATTGTCCATTTTATTGGCATAGAGTTGCTTGTAGTAATCTCTCATGATCTTTTTTATTTCTGCAGTGTCAGTTGTTACTTCTCCTTTTTCATTTCTAATTCTATTGATTTGAGTCTTCTCCCTTTTTTTCTTGATTAGTCTGGCTAATGGTTTGTCTATTTTGTTTATCTTCTCAAAGAACCAGCTTTTAGATTTTTTGATCTTTGCTATCATTTCCTTCATTTCTTTTTCATTTATTTCTGATCTGATCTTTATGATTTCTTTCCTTCTGCTAACTTTGGGGATTTTTTGTTCTTCTTTCTCTAATTTCTTTAGGTGCAAGGTTTGGTTGTTTATTTGAGATGTTTCCTGTATAATAAGGTAGGATTTTATTGCTACTTCCCTCTTAGAACTGTTTTTGCTGCATCCCATACGTTTTGGGCTGTCGTGTCTCCATTGTCATTTGTTTCTAGGTATTTTTTTATTTCCTCTTTGATTTCTTCAGTGATCACTTCGTTATTAAGTAGTGTATTGTTTAGCCTCCATGTGTTTGTATTTTTTACAGATCTTTTCCTGTAATTGATATCTAGTCTCATAGTGCTGTGGAAGGAAAACATACTTGATACAATTTCAGTTTTCTTAAATTTACCAAGGCTTGATTTGTGACCCAAGAGATGATCTATCCTGGAGAATGTTCCATGAGCACTTGAGAAAAATGTGTATTCTGTTGTTTTTGGATGGAGTGTCCTATAAATATCAATTAAGTCCATCTTGTTTAATGTATCATTTAAAGCTTGTGGTTCCTTATTTATTTTCATTTTGGATGATCTGTCCATTGGTGAAAGAGGGTGTTAAAGTCCCCTACAATGAATGTGTTACTGTCGATTTCCCCTTTTATGCCTGTTAGTATTTGCCTTATGTATTGAGGTCCTCCTATGTTAGGTGCATAAATATTTACAATTATTATATCTTCTTCTTGGATTGATCCCTTGATCATTATGTAGTGTCCTTCTTTGTCTCTTCTAATAGTCTTTATTTTAAAGTCTATTTTGTCTGATATGAGAATTGCTACTCCAGCTTTCT